ACTCAAACTAGCTGTTTTAGTAAATTATCTTCCTCTGCACGTACTAGTGTACGTGAAGTTTCGTGGCACCCCAAACGAAGGGTGCCCCAGTAAACCTGGTAGCACTTCGTAGTCCGGCCAACGACTACTTGTTATCCGTCAACATGAACATGTTGGACGTAGAATACGATAGCTTTTACGTCACACGTGAGGCTACTCCCATCTGAGTGCCTCATAATGGGAGGTAGTCGGCCGCATGAGTGTGCTTATGGGTGAACCCGCCATTAGTGGCATGTTGAGGTCTCTAAAACGTAGATCAGCAACATTCTGCTATCAACAAGTTCCTACAAGGGGATCTTGCCGTCGAAAGACAGAAGGTGGCTTTGCTACAACAGCAAAGCTCTCATCAGTCGATCGGCGGGCCGACGCACACGCGTCGACCCGAACCCTTGACGATCGATATCTCAAGGTATGAGGGAACCGATGAAGATTCCCCTTTTGAGATGGTTTGTCGAGTCAGACGACGCCATCAGGGCCCGTCACATCGAGGGTGATGAGATGCAAGTCGCCCTCTTCCTGTCCAATTTGAAAGGGTGAACAAAGACTCAAGCCTTAGGGCTCATGCTTCACGACCCAAACGTGTTTGAGAGCCTGAGATTTTGAAGTATCGGCTCGAAGACACGTTTGAGCCGCCGAGAGCCGAGTTTGGAGCACGCTCTGCACTCTTGAGGATAAAGCAAGGTAAGCGTGAAGTGCACGCTTACGCACAACACCTACGCTACCTTGCAAGTAGCGTCACGGAAAACCCTGTTGATGAGCACACGCTCATCAACGTGTTCATCTAAGGTCTTGTAGATGGGCCGGTGAAGACCTACATGTTCCGAGAAGACTTCCATACACTGGAAAGGGAGATAGCGTATGCGGAACAAGAAGACTTCAGCCTGAGACAGTCTCAGGCTAATTCCTCAAACGATCGTCCGACGAGGCGACAGGAAACCGGACGTCCCGAACCAATGGACCTCTGATATACCTAGAGCGAGAACTCTCGCTCTCTGAGTCACAAGCGAACGGCAAGATGCCGTCGCTTTCAGAAGATTGGACACTACGCTCATGAGTTTAGTGTCCCGAGCACCGCAACACGTCCAAAGACAAGACGTGACGACCGCCGTTGGCCAATGAAAGGTCCAAGGCGCGGGTCCGACCATGTCGCTAAGCCACGACAGCCAGTTGGACCACCAAAAATGGTAAGGTTCAGTAGGGGCGGAGTACCCTGCTGATTCAGCAAGGTCAAGAGAATTTTCAGGACTCTTGAAGAAGATTGCTTCCAACACACAGTCACTGTGTGTTACTACCCCTAGTTATGATGAGTCCGTCATCACTTTATCGATCGAAGTGAAAGGTAAAATGTCACTTCGTGCCCTTGTTGACTGTGGGGCGTCGAACAGTTTTATTCGACGCCAGTCGCTAGAGGATAGTAGACTAAACGATGTTGAGCGAGAGCGCCCTCCAACGAGGATGCGGTGTGCCTTGCTACAGTTTCATCCGTAAACAGTGAACAAACGTGTAGTGGGAATCCACTACACGCTAGAAGGAATACATTACGATGATGACTTCATCGTACTAGATTTGGATGACAAATTCGATGTCATCCTTGGTCTGCCATGGCTTAGAAAATATGGGCCATGAATCAGCTGGTAGCATCGATCGGTGAAGATGCCTGTTGTTTGTTCATCGGATGGCCATCTGATGAACGTCTTGGGGCGTCCACAAGCGTGTGGATGTACTACGAGTGAGTGCGTAGCCTCACTTGTGGTACGATCGTTAGTATGACGGCACAAGATCACAGTGTAGAAGGCCACTACACTGTGGAACTAGCTTCCGACACCTGTGTAGAGACATAGGATGCGCCGAAGGTTCACCACTCGAAGAGATCGAGTGGACTGGAACATGGATGCACACCAAGAAGGGTGCATCCGAGAAGAGAAATTAGAGTTTTTCAGGATAAAAAAACGTTGAAGCAAGGTCGACTATCAGAGAGTCGTAGAGCAATCCCGATCGACTGAAAGAGATTCATTCGGAGAGGACGGGACTGCGGTAGTGCATCCACATTCAGAACACGCATTGGAAGAAAGTTCCAGCGTTCCTGAGAGTGACAACTCCCAAAGAGATATATTGAGGGTGCGTTTATCCAACCACCTACAGATGTGTTTTCCCAGGAAACTGCTGAGACGGTGAATGTCTTAATGAATGAGGGATCAAGTGTAGGCGCTTATGCACTTGATCTGGTATATCTCCTAAATCAGCTTTGGAGTTGGTCAAGTTGCCAACGCTAGAATCTATGAGATTCTTGCGAGATCTGCGTAGTGACAAGATCAAGCATCTCTGCGTACTCGTAACAGACTACGAGTACGTCGCCGATATTCAGTCGGCACAAGTGTTTGCTGAGAACGAACGGGCTCTCAGTAGCTCATCGATGGACGAGAGTGTCCTCGATGAGAAGACCCGGATTGAGCGATACACGTCTCAGTCTTGGGATTCTTTGAAGAGAGATCCTTTGTATTAGGATTTGGTTGAATTCAAGGATGTATTCCCTGAAACTGTTCCGTGCGAATTACCGAAGGATAAAGGTATTCGACACGAGGTCGAGCTTAAACCCGGCTCGAAGTACTGTGTCATGAAGCAGTGGCCACTGCCTCGTGAGCAAGTACTTGCGATCGACAAGTTCTTTGCCGAACGTTTAGCTGCGGGCTATGTGAGGGAATAAACTTCCCCACATAGCTCTCCGATCTTCTGTGTGCGAAAAGCAACAGGAGGGTGGCGGATAGTGCATGCCGTCAACAAATTGAATGCTGCAACGGTACCGGCTCAAACGCCGATCCCAAGAAAGGATGTCATCATAGATGGTATGGCAAAGAGTACCATATTTTCGTCCATGGATTTGATGGATGGATTCTATCATATCCTCATGCGTGAACGGGACATCCCGAAAACAGCATTGAGCACCTCCAGTGGTGTGCTCCGGGAGTGGTTAGTGATGCCACAGGGACTAAGTAAAGCCCCTGCAACGTTTTGACAGATGTGTTTCAACTCTGTTGCGATCGGTGCGCGATTTTGCACCGTTACTTCGACGATGTCTTTGTCCATATCCGGGACATGGATGTGAAGACGGACGTGGAGGCTAACAGAATCTACGCCCGGAAGGTTCTTACACTAATGCGAGATCATTAGTTGTTCGCGAACCTCAAGAAGTGTGCATTCTCAGTGAGCGAAATACCACTTCTTGGCTGCATCGCGGGTAAAAAAACCGCGTACGCCTTGATCCGGAAAAGATCAAGGCGATTAGTGACTGGCCTGTGCCAGTCGTCGTTAAGGCACTTCGAAAGTTCTTTGGCTTGGCGGCGTATTTGCACAAATACTCGCGCAACTATGCCGAGATGACTGTTCATCTCTCTCGACTGCTAAAGAAAAACGAGGGGCGTGTATGGAGCACTAAGTGTCAACACTCTTTAAAAGGTATCAAGAAAAGCTTGGTGCAATTGCCTGTGCTGGCGATCGCGGATCAAGATGGTCCATTTCATGTGGTCTGTGACGCCAGATAAATTGCAATCGGCTACGCGTTAATGCAGTACGACTCAAACGGCGTTGAGCGCGTCGCCTGTTATCAATCGCGTCAGCTGCAAGCAGCTGAGAAAAATTATTAGATGCATGACAAGGAACTCCTTGCCATGATTTTGCACTGGCCAAGTTTCGGGTATATCTCTTAGTAGATAGACCCTTCATCGAATACACCGACCATGCGTCGCTACGCACGGTCGTAAACAGTCCACACCTCTCGCAACGAATGGCGATGTGGCTGTATTTCTTCGCGAAATACAACTTCTCCGTCGAGTACAAACCAGGACGACTTTATATCGTCGCTGATGCTCTTTCGCGTTGGCCCGATCATGAGCCGACTGCTCATCCCAACAGTAGGGGTGATCCCACTGTCGCAACACTATCAGTGAGTGTTTCGTCGTCGAATCTGCTTGACGACGAGCGAAAAGAGTACGCAGAAGATGATTCTCTTCTGCGGTTAATGGATTACGTGTCTGAACCATGCATTAAAGATTGAAAAGCTTGTCGACTCAATACCGCTCTTTGACCGAACGGTACTCGGTTCGTGATGGACTGCTGTACTATACAGTAGTAAACGGCGACACACCTCGAGTCGTCATTCCGGCTCATAATGATTTGCGACTGCGCATAATATATGAGTGTTACGATGCCCCAACAAGTGGGCATCGCGGTAGAGAAAAGACTTACCTCACGGTAAGTCGTGACTTCTACTGGCCCTGTCAGTATGAGTTCGTGCACAAGTACATTCGCGCTTGCAAAGTTTGTCAACGCGTGAAGCCTATTCCTTCATTTCGCGCACCCTTGAAGCCTCTACCGACTCCGTCAGATCGTTGGCAGTCCGTATCGATGGACTTCGTCTTCGGGTTTCCCAAAGACGCTTCCTAGAATACTAGTTTCCTTGTGTTTGTTGATCGGTTCAGCAAGATGGTACACCTTGTTGCTGTACCGGAGTCAATCAAAGCCCAGGGCTGTGCGAGTGTATTCATCGATGCTATCTTCCGACTTCACGGGTTCTTTCGTGAAGTCGTGTAGGATAGGGACCCCCGCTTTACAGCGGAGTCTGGCAATCCGTGTTCCGTTCACTTGGAACACGTTGAAGATGTCGAATTCTGACCATACTGAAACAGATGGTCAAGCGGACGCGTCAACCGCGTTCTAGAAGAGATGCTTCGAGGGTATTTTCACTCGTTTGCAAGCTGGCGTGAGTTCTTGCCGATGGCGAAATTCACCATTAACAACTCGGTGCATGCGTCGACAACGCATACACCGTTCTTCGTAAATGACCTACGACATCCACGTTTACCCGCCTTCTTAGAGTGTGACTCTAGTTTAGGAGAAAGGTACACTCGCTCGAACAGATACCTTTCGGTTCTTGCTCATCACCCGTCGACAATGGTGTCGACGTGATGGATGCCGATGTCGATGAGATCAACACAGATGATGGTGATGACGACGATGTTTACATATTCAGCATCGCTAATGACTACGACAGCGAGGACGACGGCGTCCTCACTGGTACAGAAAACGTTCTTATAGCAGTGCACACGAAGCTCACTGCTGTTGACAAGGATGAATTAGCAGAGGAATTAATGCTGACTCGACTCGCGGAGCGGTTGTCCGATTCGTTCAAGACTCTATTGCATATGCACTAGACAGACAGAAAAGAAACGCAGACAAATACGGAAAATAAATGTTCTTTCATTTGATAAAGGAGAATTAGTTTACTGTCTACAGTAAATTTACCGAAATACGCAGTGACAGACGTAGGCAGCAGTAAACTAATGCCCAAGTATGTCGGTCCATTTCGTGTGTTGCGCCGAATGGGCAACGCATACACGATTGAACTGCCCCGTAAGATGCGTACGCATCCTATGTTTTACGTTGGACGTCTTCTCCCGTACTATCAGTACGAGCCCGTTTCGAGATGAGCTGAGACCACCTTCGAGTGGTCCCGTTCCAACGAGCCAGTATGGTCGACTAGCGAAGCGACCTGTTCACGCAGTTGAGCGATGTCTCGACGAGCTGCAGCCAGCACGTCATGAAGAGAACGAGTCGAACGCTCGTTCTCATATTGCGCAAACTCACACGCGGCAATATCTTCCGAACGATCGTGCGCTAACAAATCACAATTTTCCCTTACAAGATCGTGGAGCCCATAACGTCGAGTCCGTTCACGAGCCAGGTCATCTTGCAACTGTTCCGTTAGACGGTTCAGCTCCTACACATCAAGCTGATCCGTCCCTCGAGCGGGATCAGGTGTTCTCGCCGCCACCACATCATTTGGTGGACTCAGGCGGTAATCAACGCTTCCTAGTGGAGTGTATTTTGAGCCACCGCGACATGAATAGAGTCCGGACGAGTTATCTCGTCTGCTGGCGTGGTTATCCACCGGCATGGGAAAGCTGGGAGCCTCGTGCGCAGCTGATTGTTGATGTCCTTGGTCTCGTTGAGCAGTACGACGAGACCCACACGCTGCGTTCGAATAAGGGACGTCAGAAAAAGACCTTCCCGAACGCGATTACAGGGATTGCAAAATTTCAATCCTTCCGGCCATCTCATAAGAGATGCGCGCCCTCCAGTAGGGATTATTAGGGATGTAGGCCTCCCTGGGGGCACAGTTCGATTAGTACAGGGAACTTGGACACGAAACACCCCACGAGAGACAGGGCAACCCTGCCTCTATTGAAAGCCGGTGCAACTTGTATCGCACCCCAACTGGGTTACGTTTCTTAAACCTGGTGCGTGCTGCATCAAGGCTACCGAGCCAGGCCTCAAGTCCAATGCACTCAAAGTTGTGGATGACGACATTCCATCCTTGCACTAAGGCCTTCCGTCTCGAACACGGCTACCATTGTAACACCGATGTTTAAAAAAACGCATTGGTTAAGATTTCTTCTTCAGCACCGATACTTTCCGTGCTGGAATCAGGTGGGCTAATCTTCCTAAAATCGAACAACGGGTTTGGTTCTCGATCGGTAGTCATGTCAACCAACCGGTCCAGCTCCTTAAATGATGGCATCCAAGAAGAGTCCGCTTGAGGAGCGTGGCGCAGGACACTTCGGTCCCTGGACTCTTGTTTGGTGCCAGCGTGAGCACTGACACCAGTGGAAACTCGATCTTTTTAGTTACTTCGCTCGTGGTGATGTATAGCTTCATCGCCACCATCCCCACGCGTCCTATCGTTGGATGGACTCGCGCGAGGCGAGGATTCGTCAGAACAGTCGCTCGACCCGAATCTCTTGAGCATGATGCCGCCACGCTGACCAGAGCCAGTCGACCTGGCTCTTTCAGTATCCGCCCCGGGTGATCCGGACGCGTGAGGTGTCGCCTTCGAGTCGGATACATCATCCGAATCGCCAGAATAGATGGGCTCTATTTCGGACTCATCTAAATAACGATTCGAGGTGCATGCTGCAGATGCAGCGGATGTACCTGTCGCACGTGGTGTCGCACCACGTGGACTGTTTACAACGACAGGCGATGAATCACCTGCGCTGAGGTGTGATAAGTACTCTCACCGGCTGCACGCATGCGTGCAGCCGCATTTCTCGCTGCTGCATTAGCAACACGTTTGGTTTTTAAAACCATGCGTTGGATTAGCAAATGAAGAGAATCTGACATACAAGTGCTCCCTTTCCCAGGGTTACCTAACGGTGAACACCCTGTCACAATCAATTATAATTCAATCAACAGGTGATTGATGGTTAAGGGGGGTGATGTAACGGGTTAGCCCGTTACGTGATCTTGACACCAATCGTTGTCAATAGAAATATTGTGTAGCATGGTAATTCCCTACCAATGTTATCCGAGATGGATAGCATTAAAGGAATAATGTCCCCTTTTAGGATCAAATTCAAGCGCTGATCAAAGATTGGTGGATAAAAGACTTATCAACGATCGATTACCACCAATCGCTGCTAGACGCGCGCAATGAGTGGTGAGCAGGTTGTCGTCATACGACGACGTAGTTTAATATAGTTCGATAATGATTAAAATTAAATTGATAGATATACTATATTAAATACAGTTCTCTTTTAGCCTTTTACTCAAACTAGTGTTTGAAGTAGATTATCTTCCTCTGCACGTACTAGTGTACGTGAGGTTTCGCGGATCCCCAAACGAAGGGTGCCCCGTCACAATTATCGTGTCATTGGTATCCATTATTTCGTAAGTTTTGTCTTCATAGCAGGTATGTGTGGGTATTACGGTGCAATGGACGATTATAACTGCAGGTGGTTTGCGATCAACTGGAACACCTAATCACCCGGTGAGGCATTGGCAGGTTTACTTCTACGCAAGGGTCCGACAAATGTTTCCGTCCGTAATTTTGTCGGAGGCGGCTTGCAAAACATACGATATTAGCAGCGAGGGCTTGGATCATTTACAGACGAATCTTTAATATTTATGGACGTCCGGAATGTACTCTATCTGTAACGGGGCACCCTGAAGCTTGTACTGGTGACAGTACAAGCTACTCATTCTGGTGACAGAATAAGGCGGTGCCTCGGAACTTCACGTACACTCGTACGTGCAGAGGAAGACGGTAAGAAGAAGCGAGTACTTGGTTAAAGTAAAAAGTAGAACTGTAGTTAGTATAGTTAATGTCTGCAATAAATCACTATTTATCCTCATCTAACTATGTCTAAATACAAATGTGTACATCAACTATCTGCTCACCACTCATTGCGTGCGACTGTCGTGGCGCGTCTTCGTTGGTTGATATAATGGCCTATATCAACCAATTAGGAACTACTCGTAAGTGCTGCAGAATATTTGTCCTCATGACAATATTCTGAGAACATAACTCTTATAGTTATATTCTATTAACAATTTCTTATAAATTGTTATGTAACGATTCACCCCGTTACACTATCCATATCATCCATCTATCCTGCTGGTCTGGTCTCGAAATGCAGTTCTTCAGTCTTTTCTATTATTACAAGGGGGCGGGTGTGGCCGTATCAAAAGTGGGGTGTGCCTCAAGTCGCGGATTTAATTTTAGAATTTAGGCCAATCAAATTTTAACGCCAGCTTAAATTTGTGGGTGGCGGCATTATTGAGCAGGACCATCTTCCGATTTTCTTTGCTCAAATTCTCTTGTTTAGAACACCATAAACACCAGCAACTTTTAGTCACGCACAACAATCTATCGATACATGTTCTAGCACACATATTACGAATATATCCTGTCCGCTTACCCTCCAGATAGAACGTGGATATAAGAATCTTAGTTTAGTTCCCTGGACCAATTTGTTTATATCAGGGATAGATCTAGAGTCTGATCACGTATGTAGATTAGCTTTAGAATATACTGGATTTGCTAATTTTTGCTGACACACTCAAGCAGCTAAACAAAGATATCCTTAAATATGTTCATTTGCTCGGAAAAAAATCTCGCATGTTGATCCATAATAATTGTTTAAAAAAATTGTTTTAAAACTTACCCTGTGCAAAATTTAAGCACCGCTGTGGCGCTTTTCCTGCTTACAACAAGTTCGAGCTGATACGCATAATGACGTGTTTAGAATGTTTCACGACCTGCCTCGGATACTGAATGCTCGAAATCTTACACTATTATGATTTTAAGAATAGTTGAGAGCTGAGCGTGTGCATTTCATGATCGTGCCTGGTAATCTCTTGAGGTGAAAACACCATATTAGCTTTTCGCCGACGCGATATACTTAACTGTTATTTGGTATGATAAAGGGAAAGATTAAACGTTCCTGTCGCGAGCGGGTCATTGTACCGGCGATTTGTTTTGGCTTTTAGAAAAAAGACTTTCCAATTTGTGTTTGTTTAACCCAATCAATTGTTACTGGATGACATTCTTATTTAGATACACCTACCCCACTTCGAGATTTTTTGCAAATGCTGTATTGGCAATTGCCGGCACGCGATGATCAACGAGGAACGATGTGATGGAGGAGTTGCAGATAACAGCGATCAATAACACCCACCAATACACCTCGTCTTGTGGCTATTTTGATGTGATACTATACTCGCGTAACACAGCAGCTGTATGAGGCGTACAAATTTGTGCATCCCATATAACACTAATTTGTTTCTGTTTTAAGTATCCGTTCGATGGGAAACCTGCGACAGTCCACTGCCATCGAATTATCGTCGAGAAATGACCTTTTTTGTCATTACTTTACGCTGTTTACCATTAAAGCTGGCTGTTTTGCTGGTATTAGAGTCATTGATATCGTCATTATTGTAAGTGACGTTTCTGCTGACGAAGTTGTTGTTAGCCGCATTGTTGGAAAACCGTGCCTTTTTAAAATGTGCTGTAGGTACGATATGAGCATGCCAATCAATGTTGCCACCGGGATGCATTGATTATGATACTGCTACAGTTATTTCTGCTCTGTAAAGACATAATAGTTGAATGGCATGAATATGTACGCATGACACTAGTGAATGTGCCTTTCTGGAAGATTACTGCATCAAATTACACATACATATAGAATTTAAAATCCGACGATTAATTGCTGTTCGCTTTTACCATTTGCTTTGCAGCTCATTGCTTACCAGCAACCGCCACTACAGCAAATGCGATTACATAGTAGAAAAAGGGTAGGTATTTCAAATTAGGTTGGCATCGTCAGAATTGGATTTGGTATGACAGATTATAATTTGAAATTTTTTTATCGGCCAAAACAAATCGCTGGTATAACGACCGGCTCGCGACCGGTCGTTTTATTTATGTTAATTCGGGACATTTCACGACTTAAATTGACTAATCGAAATGGGCTGTTTAGTGTATACGTAACGAAAAAAGGAGTAAATCTACCAACTCCCCTATTTAGTACCAAGTTCTGGCACCATATAGCCATGTGATAGAGGTAATTGATTCATCGACACTCCTTTTCGTTAAAACACACCCTTCACGTCCGTTTAACTATTTTTGCTCCACCTTTGAATATGTTTATCGTTCTGTAGATTTTATTACTAATTACAAACATGATAGACATAAATCTATTCTGAAAAATTTGCTCAAGAGGCACATTACGATTTCGTAAAATTAAAAAGTGTATCAGTCTTGTCGTTAATAGCATACAAATTTCAATGCACAAACCCCCTTCATTCTAGTTTCGTTTTACAGGATACACGCTGCTGCAACGTCGGCAGGCCATTGACAGATTCATAAAGAAGTCTGAGACATTTAAAAAAAACGACACCTATCGGTCACACGGTTTACTGCCTGCAATCTAAAAATGAATATCTTTTCGCCCGCAAACTGAACGCGTAACTATCAAAAAAGGTGCGATAGGATTGTCTGATGATTTTTTTAAATTTACCCTGTCTCTTATCATTTACGATGTGATCAAAAGAGATCTTAGTCATGCTTTTGTTTGACTCCACCTGATTCGAGAGTGACGAAGACAACCACGATGACGTAGTTAGGCGCAATGAGTGCAGAAATTACTACCGAGTAGACACTTTGTATAATCGAATTGTAATTCCTTTGTTTATTTCACGAAGGATTTCAGTCTAGACTATAGGAGCGGCGTCTATTTACCGAAGGCGGTGGGAAGTAGGGCCAGAAGGAAGTTACAAGAGCTTGACGGGAGTAGCTATTACGTTTACAGTAAGAATGATAATATTGAATTTACGTTATATAAGCGTATGACCGAAGTAGTTCGGTAAATTAGTACGTACTGCTATGAGTCAACTGCACGGAGCTAACCTCGATAATAACGTACTATCATGTCGTCTTTCGACGGCAAGATCCCCTTGTAGGAACTTGTTGATAGCAGAATGTTGCTGGTTTCTGCTAGAGACTCCAACATACCACTGATGGCGGGTTCGCCCATGAGCACACTCATGCGGCCGACTATCTCCCATTCTGAGTCACTCAGATGGGAGTAGCCTTCACGTGTGACGTAAAAGCTATCTTCTTCTACGTCCAACATGTTCATGTTGACGGATAACAAGTAGTCGTTGGCCGGACTACGAAGTGCTACCAGGTTTACTGGGGCACCCTTCGTTTGGGGATCCGCGAAACTTCACGTACACTAGTACGTGCAGTGGAAGCTAATCTACTCCAAACACTAGTTTGAGTAAAAGGTTAAAAGAGAACTGTATTTAATATAGTATATCTATCAATTTAATTTTAATCATTATCGAACTATATTAAACTACGTCGTCGTATGACGACAACCTGCTCACCGCTCATTGCGCGCGTCCAGCAGCGATTGGTGGTAATCTTTGGTTAGATAAGTCTTTTATCAATCAATCTGTGAGCAGCGCATAAATATTATCCTACAAATAGGATAATATTCCTTCCATCTCGGATTATACTGGTAGGGAATTGTCTTGCTAGACAATATCCCTATTGACAACGATTGGTGTCAATATCATATAACGGGCTACCCCGTTACACATAAAGCGATGCGCCGTTGTACTACTCATGCTGTGCTACAACTAATATTTTATTATGCGTCAGCACCTTATTAGAGCAATAGTTGGCCGTTCTTTGCAGTGTTTAAAGACTTTGTAATTCTTCTTTAGTAAAAGGTATACTCCCTTAGTTGAACTTATTGGTTGCACGGGCTTCATGTCGGCAAAAGGTTAGATTTTCTGGTCCCGTGTCGAATCAGAGTCGTCTAATGGAACGAAAAAATTTCACTTCTTCCTATCTGTTGCCTGACAAAAACATTAATTTTTGACGCAGTATTCGTTGTCATAACTTCACCAGTAAATAGTGCGTCACAAGCCCACGTAATTTGGCATGCTTTACGTCCTTCCTTTAGGTCTCGCCTGAGATCCTGTAGCGTTGCTGAATCGGCTTAGTTTTCTGGCAAACCTTTTGCTGGAACAACTGTCACATCATATGCCACGTGTTTCTTTTCAGCAGCAGAAATAGTGGTTGTAGGTCATATAAAGAGGGTTTTCACTCAAATGGGCGAATGTTATTCGTGCCTTATATCTTACTCGCTTATAAAGGGAACGGCATTCGCATCCTATGCAGTTTAATGCATTCAGCGACATTATGACTCTCATAAAGAGTGTGTATCGTATAAAGAGTCTCTTATAAAGAGTGGTGAGTGTGGATAGACCGCGTTGTCAGATAACTTTGATGGTACGATAACGCCCATTCCGATCGTCCCATCAGCAGGTCTTATAATCGAGCATGATGAGCGGTCGATCTGGTCCGAAATTTCGTTGCGTTCGGGATGAGCGCTGGTAACATTTTGAGGTCCTATGCCAGCGCTACGCTAGAAGGGACTGTGTCACTTTCATTGGCTTACGGAGAGCGGTCGTATGGCTTTGCACTGTACAAGCGTATTCATTGCTACATCGTAACTGCTTGAGTTGACCGGCTACAAAAAATGGAAACTTTAGCCTAGTGCAGATTTTACCGACGGAGGCATGGTGCAACTTCCAGGCGTCGACTGCTGGACTTCAATTGCTACTGCAGGGGCAGGTCGAAACTTCCTCCTTTGGTGGACTTCCTATCCTCTCTTGTACATTCCAGTACACAATTTTACATAAATAGAGCTTACATGACGTATGTTGTGATTCCATTCATCGTCCAGACACAAAGTCACTCTGCCTGCGTGGGGGTAATCGTCATGCTCCATGATTTATTATTAACGATAGAGTCTAGCGCTGCGTACAAAGCATTTTGAAGGCTGGAGAAGAACTTTCGCGCGCTGTCATCCCTTTGTTCATTCACAAGGTGCTCCATGTCGCAAATGTGGGAGACTGTGCTGCTGTGCTAGGAATGTGCACGAGATCAACCTGTTGGCCGAGCGCCCGCAAGATCACAAAAACGCTTAACACCATCATTATTGGTGTATCGTGACGCATGACGATTACCTCACGCAGACACAATGTTTTTTGTGTCCGGGCGATGAGCGGTATCATAGAGCACGACTCAAGAGCGCCATTTGTGTACAATTGTGTGCTGGAAGAAACAAGAAAGGAGAGAGTCTATCGAAGGAGGATGTTTAGACCAGCCCAGCCACAAAGCAGAGCTAGCACCTTTTCTCGACGAAACCGAATGCCTGACTATCGTATTGATGACGCTAAGGAGTGTCCCATGATATGTTTTATTGAGTAATGCATGTTAGAAATGATGCATGTCATTAGGGAATTCTCTTTCGTCCAAGCTCGAGTCGACGTTTCACCTTGTCAGTGTATTTTGCGCTTATCTAAGAGGTGCACGCCTGTATATCAAAACAACAGCTTGTGAGTGATAGGACTAATTCTTTTCTGGCATGTTTTACGTTCAAAGGTTGACTTTGTTGTCACCATGAGCTTCGTGCTGATGGAAGAGATTAACGATTTTGTGTCAAACGAGCCAAGTGCTCTGGCCAAAATCGACGACACTTGCAATAGTACTTCTAACATGTCGGGCGTTCAAGATGAAATTCATTTTCCAAGCCATTTCAAGAATTGTTACCGGGTTCAAAACCGTGAGCAATACATTCGATCCCGTCAGCGACAGAACGAGGAGCAGCAGTCTTCACAGATGCAGATGCAGTTCAATCAAACATTATTTTCATGTATGGAAAATAGTGACGGCAATATCGCACGCAATGGATTAAAGGCTGGTGCAAAAGGTTCGTCGTGTGTCACTCTCGTGCCACAGCCACAACTAAAGGTGAAGCCACTCAATGCACCACCAGCAAAGATACTTACAATGGCGAATAGGCGACCTACTGCGTCTAAGCAGTCCGCTGTCGAGGTACAGAGTAGATGGGTTGCATAAGATATGATCACGAACTGACTATTTAATTGGCTGTAGTCAGTGTCTTTCGCCAGTTCGAGGACGCTGAGATGCACGACGAGCACATGTTCAAGTGATCGGTCTAGCGATCCTACAACGCTGCTTGACGACCCAGACCTCTTGAAGAGAGATCTTATGGCTTTGATGGATGAAATGTACAACGAAGCCAAAGCGATGTGTGGTCATGATGCAAGTGCTATAGCTTCGACACCGACAATCACTTGTCAATGTGATAAGCGCATGGACTCGAAAGAAGGAAATACAACGCACATTAGATCGGAGACTCCGTTGGAATGCTGCTTGGATACGGCAAGAGAATTTCTGGCGGCCATGTTCTCTTTGCCCCAGCCTTGTCTAAGCGAGGAAATGACTCGGGTGTGTACCTCATTAGCGTTTGTTGTTGTTGTTGTTGTTGTTGTTGTCTTTCCATGACACTAAAGTATTGTATTGTTTGATACAGACGGAAAGTACAGTGAAACCAGTGAAAGCGAACATTGATGCTGATTATCGGATGTCGGGGGCAAAGGAATGCTTGGATGGGATCGGGCTACTGCGCCGACACACTGAGGAAGATTGTGAGCTGATCATATGGGCTGCGGTTTCGTTTCACGATAGTGGCAAAATTTCATTTCAAGAGCGCTCGTGGGCGGTTGCTACGCGATCGGCAACATCCACGTCGCATCAAGAATCAGTGGTTCGCACTGATTATCGTCTGAGTTCAAGCAAGGTTAAGCGATGCTTGTACATTGGCGGCGAAAATATCAATCAGGTCCGTGACCATGTAATCGGTGCGAAAAGCGTACAGGTAAAGGCAAATTATCGCATGCTTCAACGAAAAATGCTAATTGAAACTGGCAGAGCGGACCTGGCTAGTTTTGTCGGGTAAATAGCACAGTAAGTACATTGACATTCTCATTTGCGCTTTATCTAGATTTTCTCGCGGTCGACCTACATCAAATTCTGCATTTACCTAGAGGACGGTCGCGCATGTATGTGCAATCCCATGGTTTAAAAGTCGGGAGGCGACCGCCGACTCGTGGGTGGGCGTGGGTGTAAGGCCACGCACTAATAAATATAGTGCGCTGATATAATCACAACCCTTTTCCTTAACTTCACACCTTTTGCCAAACCTATTTAAATAACCCATGTTGCCAGGCCAGTTATTACAACCTCTAATATTTACTTAATCGCCCTCTGCATAGGACATTAGAACGCTGCTATATTTATACCTTTTTTTGTGCACCCTTCTTCCGTCGAAGGGTTCGAATATTTTCTAGCAAGACAATTCCCTACCAATATAATCCGAGATGGAAGGAATATTATCCTATTTGTAGGATAATATTTATGCGCTGCTCACAGATTGGTGGATAAAAGACTTATCAACGATCGATTACCACCAATCGCTGCTAGACGCGCGCAATGAGTGGTGAGCAGGTTGTCGTCATACGACGACGTAGTCTCATATAGTTCAATAAGATTAAAATTAAATTGATAGATATACTATATTAAATACAGTTCTCTTTTAACCCTTTACTCAAACTAGCTGTTTTAGTAAATTATCTTCCTCTGCACGTACTAGTGTACGTGAAGTTTCGTGGCACCCCAAACGAAGGGTGCCCCAGTAAACCTGGTAGCACTTCGTAGTCCGGCCAACGACTACTTGTTATCCGTCAACATGAACATGTTGGACGTAGAATACGATAGCTTTTACGTCACACGTGAGGCTACTCCCATCTGAGTGCCTCATAATGGGAGGTAGTCGGCCGCATGAGTGTGCTTATGGGTGAACCCGCCATTAGTGGCATGTTGAGGTCTCTAAAACGTAGATCAGCAACATTCTGCTATCAACAAGTTCCTACAAGGGGATCTTGCCGTCGAAAGACAGAAGGTGGCTTTGCTACAACAGCAAAGCTCTCATCAGTCGATCGGCGGGCCGACGCACACGCGTCGACCCGAACCCTTGACGATCGATATCTCAAGGTATGAGGGAACCGATGAAGATTCCCTTTTGAGATGGTTTGTCGAGTCAGACGACGCCATCAGGGCCCGTCACATCGAGGGTGATGAGATGCAAGTCGCCCTCTTCCTGTCCAATTTGAAAGGGTGAACAAAGACTCAAGCCTTAGGGCTCATGCTTCACGACCCAAACGTGTTTGAGAGCCTGAGATTTTGAAGTATCGGCTCGAAGACACGTTTGAGCCGCCGAGAGCCGAGTTTGGAGCACGCTCTGCACTCTTGAGGATAAAGCAAGGTAAGCGTGAAGTGCACGCTTACGCACAACACCTACGCTACCTTGCAAGTAGCGTCACGGAAAACCCTGTTGATGAGCACACGCTCATCAACGTGTTCATCTAAGGTCTTGTAGATGGGCCGGTGAAGACCTACATGTTCCGAGAAGACTTCCATACACTGGAAAGGGAGATAGCGTATGCGGAACAAGAAGACTTCAGCCTGAGACAGTCTCAGGCTAATTCCTCAAACGATCGTCCGACGAGACGACAGGAAACAGGAGGTCCCGAGCCAATGGACCTCTGATATACCTAGAGCGAGAACTCTCGCTCTCTGAGTCACAAGCAAACGGCAAGATGCCGTCGCTTTCAGAAGATTGGACACTACGCTCATGAGTTTAGTGTCCCGAGCACTGGAACACGTCCAAAGATAGGAGGTGATGACCGCCGTTGGCCAAGGAAAGGTCCAAGGCGCGGGTCCGACCATGTCGCTAAGCCGCGACAGCAAGTCAGACCGTCAAAAAACGGACAGGTAAGTAGGGGCGGAGTACCCTGCTGATCCAGCAACGTCAAGAAAATTTGCAGGACTCTTGACGAAGATATCTCCCAACACGCAGTCTCTGTGCGTTACTTCTCCTAGTTATGAGGTGTCCCTCATCACTGTATCGATCGAAGTGAAAGGTAAAATGTCACTTCGTGCCCTTGTTGACTGTGAGGCGTCGAACAGTTTCATTCGACGCCAGTCGCTAGAGGATAGTAGACTAAACGATGTTGAGCGAGAGTTCCATCCAACGAGGATGCGGTGTGCCTTGCTACAGTTTCATCCGTAAACAGTGAACAAACGTGTAGTGGAAATCCACTACACGATAGAAGGAAAGCAGTAGGGTGATGACTTCATCGTACTAGATTTGGATGACAAATTCGATGTCATCCTCGGTCTGCCATGGCTTCAAAAATATGGGCCATGAATCAGCTGGTGTCATCGATCCGTGAAGATGCCTGTTGTTTGTTCATCGGATGGCCATCTGATGAACGTCTTGGGGCGTCCACAAGCGTGTGGATGTACTACGAGTGAGTGCGTAGCCTCACTTGTGGTACGATCGTTAGTATGACGGCACAAGATCACAGTGTAGAAGGCCACTACACTGTGGAACTAGCTTCCGGCACCTGTGTAGAGACACAGGATGCGCCGAAGGTTTCCCACTCGAAGAGATCGAGTGGACTGGAACATTTATGCACACCAAAAAGAGTGCATCCGAGAAGAGAAATTAGAGTTTTTCAGGATAAACAACACGTTGAAGAGAGGTCACTATCAGAAATTCGATCGTAGAGCAAGCCCGATCAACTGAAAGAGAGTCAATCGAAGAAGACGTGACTGCGGTAGTGCATCCACATTCAGAACGCGCATTGGAAGAAAGTTCCAGCGTTCCTTATAGTGATTACTCCCGAGAGAGTTATGTTGAGGGTGTAGATCCCAACCACCTGCGAATGTGCCTTCTTAGGAAATCACCGAGTCAGTGAATGTATTTTTGAATGACGGATCAAGTGTAGGCGCTTATACACTTGATCTGGTTATGCCCCCGAAGACAGCTTCGAAGCTAGTCAAGTTGCCAACGCTAGAATCTAAAAGATTCTTGCGAGATCTGCGTAGTGACAAGATCAAGCATCTATGCGTAATCGTCATGGATGACGAGAACGTAACCGAGATTTGGTCAACATTAGTACTTGCCGAGAACAAAAGGGTTTACAGCAGCAATGGACGAAAGTTTTCTCAATTTGAAGACTCGGAATGAGTGACTCATGTCTCAATATTAGCAGTCGCTTTAGTCAATTCCTTTGTATCAGATTTTGACTGAATTTTATGACGTATTCCCTAAATCTGTACCATGCGATCACCCAATGATAAGGCACTCGACACGAGATCGATCGCAGGCCGGGCTCGAAGTTCTGTACTAACCGGGGTCGAAGTACTGAAACACCGGCCACTGCCTCGTTAACAGGTCACATCGACCGACAAATTCTTTGCCGATTGCTTAGCCGCTGGTCATGTGAGGGAGTCAGCTTCTCCTCACAGCTCTCCGAACTTCTGTGTTCGTAATGCCACAGGAGGGTGTCGGATAGTGCACGCGTTTAACAAATTGAACGCTGCAGCAATACCGGCTCAGACGCCGATACCAAGGAAGGACGTAATCAGTGATGTTATGGCAAAAAGTACCCTATTTTGGTCCATGGATCTGATGGATGGATTCTATCATATCCTTATGCGGGAACGGGATATCCCGAAAACAGCATTGAGCACCCCCAGTGGTGTGCTCCGGGAGTGGTTAGTGATGCCACAGGGACTAAGTAAAGCCCCTGCAACGTTTTAACAGATGTGTTTCAAATCTGTTGCGATCGGCGCGCGATTTCGCACCGAGTTACTTCGACGATGTATCCGTCCATAGCCAGGCTATGGATGGAAAGACGGACATGGAGATTCATAGAATCCGCGTCCGGAAGGTTCTTACACTAATGCGAGAGCATTGGTTGTTCGCGAACCTCAAGAAGTGTATATTCGCAGCGAACGAAATACCACTTCTTGGCTGCATCGCGAGCAAAATGGCGTACGCCTTGATCCGGAAAAGATCAAGGCGATCAGCGACTGGCCTGTGCCAGTCGACGTCAAGGGACTTCGAAAGTTCCTTGGCTTGGCGGCGTACTTGCACAAGTACTCGCGCAACTACGCCGAGATGACCGCGCATCTCTCTCGTCTGCTTTAAAATAAACCAGAGGCTTACATGGATTGCTGTGTGTCAGCACTCTTTTGAAGTTATCAAGAAAGGACTGATACAATCGCCTGTGTTGGCGATTGCAGACCAGGACAGACCATTCCATGTGGTCTGTGACGCCAGATAAATTGCAATCGGCTGCGCGTTGATGCAGGAAGACTCAGACGGCGATGAGAACGTCGTCCGTTGTCTTTCGCGTCAGCTGAGCATAATTACACATCAGATTGCGTGATGAGTACTATTTAATCATTTAGACCACACCAAAATGTCCAAATGTTTGGGGCGATCATGGTCTTTGATTATGTCTTCGTACACGCGCGCACGGACTCTATTTTAGTTTCTTTTATCTTTACTCTTCCCTGTATGCCTATCTTCTACCTTTACACGCGCACTATACGGTATATGCATGCTAATGCTGACATATGCACCTTGCATATCGATTTGCCGGCTCCGACTTATGTCGCGGCTGATTCCAGTTGCACTTGATTTGCGATCGCAATCTCGTTCAGCCTTCTCATAACCATCACTTAAATAATGAGGTTTTGTTTAGCAAATATTGAGTGGAAAGAGTTCATTCTCGTTGGGTTCATCAGCGTTAACGACCAACGGTGACGTAACTGCAACTGATTATGTCAAGATCTGCCAATCAGACCGCGTTTCGTATCGAACCGGGAAACGCAATCGGTGTCCGACGGGTTTTTATATGCTTCGCCACAATCGCCCCCTGCACTAGTGACTAGATTAAGATTTTAGCCTAGCTTCTGCACAGTAAATCATTCTTTGTTTCTTCATCTCAAAAAAGTTCACAAGTCCACACAAACTCGACGCGTTAATAAAAAAAAGTTCGATTGTGGACAATCTTCTTTAGGAAAGAAAATGGATGATGCATC